CCAGTGTATGTAATATGCTGCTTTGTTTCCTATATTTGCACTGGTGGCGAACTTTGATGCCCAGTGGATGTAATATGTGTAATAGCGGTAATAGGCTAACGTTAATGGCTTGCTTATTTATTTCCTTATTGTCTTGTTTAGTTGTTTGCTTGTAGTCACTACAGTTCTTTTTCTGCGTTTTTCTAGTGGCCACAATAACCTATTTTTCGTAACAAGGCCAAAATAATCATGGCAACACACGGAATGTTATAACCATGGGCCTCCTGCGGGCCGTATGATCCATGGGCCTTCTACGGGCCGTAGGATCCATTGGCCTTCTATACGGGCCATAGGATCCATGGGCCTTCTACGGGCCGTAGGATCCATGGGCCTTCTACGGGCCATACGATCCATGGGCCTTTTACGGTCCGTAGGATCCATGGGCCTTTTACGGGCGTATCATCATTTTGCCAATCACGGGGCGTACTATTTGTGGACCATAACATGTCGTTAATAGGCCGTATTTGATAACTCTATGAAAACAGCCCAACCTTTTTTACATGAAACCGGCCCAACGTATTAACGGGCCACAAACGGGCTGGATGTAACCATGGGCTTAATTTGGCCCACAAGCAGAAAATGACAGTAACGGGCCGTAAGTAACCGAATGCTAGAAATGAGCCCAAGAATAAATGGGCCCTGAGAAGGCCGAAAGATAACTTGGGCTGGAAATGGCCCAATGGAATAATGGGATGTTAATGGGTATAAAGTGATACTTTATTCATTACGGGCCAGTTTCACAACGGGCCGTTAATGGGCCAAGAGTTAAAAAGGGCCTCATATGGGCCGAAAGACATCATGGGCCATACATGGGTCGGAAGTTAAAACGGGATGGAATCATATTGGATGGCCCAGATGATGCTACTTGGCCTAATTCAGAGAGGTCGTAACGGGCCCTGGGTTAGCGGGCTGTAAATGGGCTATATGCGAACAGGCCGTTAACAAGCTTTCCGTGGGCCAGCCCGCCACCTTTTGACCAAGTCAAACGGGCCGGCCTTTTCACAGGAATGGGCCTCTGTTGGGTCGTGCCACGTGTTGACGTATCATAGGTGCCTTGGGTCCAATGAGTGGATGACATCTGTCCCAACGGTGAGCCCACACATGTTTTCTCCAGCCAATGATGATTTTACACGTGGAAAATCCCCATTGGTCAGGGCTGTTAACGGGTTATCGGATGCAAAACCGGACCCGATAGCTTAACGGTGTTCCATTACGGTGGATGCCACATGTTGGTCACCCTTGACGAAAGCACTTCTATGACGCGCGATTTATCGTCATGGAAGTGGACACTTCCGTGATGATAATTTTGGTAATGTCATGGAACACTTCTACGACAGCACATGTATGACTATCTTGATTCTGTCATAAAATCGTCATGGATGTACATGCATGACAGAAAACGCGACCTACTGTGACAAGCACGTATCATCACGAGAGTGTATTTTTTTGTAGTGGAGAGACAAGAGCAATCTCAACCTCAACAAGCGAATTATGGGAAGATTCAGAGCAGCCATCGACAAAGCTGGACTGCAAGAGATCAAATGCAAGAACATGCGTTTTACTTGGAGTAACAAGAGGGAAAACCCCACATTCATCGCCATCGACAAAATGTTTTGCAACCTGGAGCGGGAAACACTTTTCCCCTCCTACATTCTGATGGTCGCGTCCACGACATGCTCAGATCATTGCCCTCTCCTGCTGTCCAACGCTATTGCACCGCACCGCAACGCAATCTTCAGATTTGAGACGTTCTGGACCCAATTCCCGCACTTCCAGCACGCAGTAGCTAGGGCTTGGCAAAGGCCGGTTAACCACAGCTACCCTTTCACAAGACTGAAAATCAAGCTGAAGAGAGCCGCGGCAGATCTGAAGATATGGGCAAAGATGCTCTTCAGCGAGACCAAGTTGCAGTTCCATCTGGCATCGGAGGTAGTGCTGCGTCTGGATTCGCACAGGAGAAGCGGCAGCTTACACACAGTGACTTCTGGCTGCGGAAAACCCTAAAGCTGAAGATCGTTGGCCTCGCAGCCCTCGAGCGCGTCAGAAGGCGGCAGGCCTCGCGCATCACGTGGCTCAAAGCGAGCAACGCCTCCACAACATTTTTCTAGGCAAAGCAGACCTCCAGGTGCCGTAAAAACTTCATGCAAGGCATCCAATCGGCAGGCGCCATCAAGACCAGCCACGCCGACAAGGCGGCCATTGTGCATGAGCACTTCTCCTCCCTGCTGGGACAGAAAATAAATCGGGCCCGCACGATCAATTGGGTGGCGCTTGAACTGCCAAGACTGCAAGCTGGGGGCGGACTCGACAACCCCTTCTCTTAGGCAGAAGTTTGGGCAGCAATTTGTGCATCCCCAACCGAGAAGGCACCAGGCCCCGATGGTTTCAACGGCGCCTTCTTCAGAGCATGTTGGCCAACTATCAAGGTGGATGTAATGGCCGTGTTTGAAAGTTTCTATCGGTTGGCTGGTGGAGATTTTGGTGCTCTGAACCGAGCCCTCATTGTGCTGCTGCCCAAGAAGGATGGAGCAATTCAGATGGGAGATTTCAGGCCAATTAGTCTGATACATCCAGTGGCTAAGTTGATCACAAAGGTGTTGTCCATCAGCCTCGCAGGCGTATTGGATCAACTGATCTCTCCAGCACAGAGCGCGTTCCAAAAGAAAAAAGGAATCCATGACAGTTTTCTCAACGTCCAAAACTGCGTCAGAAAGTTCCAAAAGAAGAAAAAACATATGCTGCTGCTCAAGTAGATATTGCCAAAGCTTTTGACACCATATCATGGGAGTATCTCATGGAGCTCATGCAGCAAATGGGCTTTCCCTCTAGATGGCGAGACTGGATCGCGCTCCTCCTCTCGTCTGCAACATCATCCTGCATGCTCAACGGAGACCCTGGGCCAAGCTTTCTGCATCAGCGTGGACTCAGGCAAGGCGACCTTCTGTCCCCCATTCTGTTCATCCTGGCCATCGACCCATTGCACAGACTGCTGGAGGCGGCTATGCAAGATGGCGCGCTCGAGCCGCTGCCGGAAAGAACAGCACGGCTACGAGCAACCCTATACGCCGATGATGCAGTGATCTTTGCAAACCCAGTGCGGCAAGAAATCGACTTCCTCATGCAACTTCTCAGTGACTTTACCGAGGCATCCAGGCTGTGCATGAACCAACTGAAATCATCTACTGCCCCGATCAGCTGCGAAGACGTAGACCTCACCCAGGTGCTGGAGGGTTTTGGCGGCTCCATCGTCAGTTTCCCCGTTAGATATTTAGGCTTGCCAGTATGCATCAGTAGGACTAGGCTAATCCACCTGCAGTACCTCATCAACCGCGTCCGTGCAAGACTGGCAGGCTGGAAGGGTCGGCTTATGCCGATCGCGGGCCGGCGAGTGCTGGTGCGCTGCGTGCTCTCTGCACTGCCGGCCTTCGCCCTTGCAGTCCTGCGTGCCCTGAAGAAATTCCACAAAGAGGTGGACAAAGCAAGACGCCGATTTCTCTGGGCCCAGGATGAGGAAATCTCCGGCGGGAAGTGCATGGTCAACTGGAAGCTTGTAACCTCGCTGGTGGATCGCGGTGGGCTCAACATTCCAGACATGGAGCGTTTTGCGCGCGCACTCCGCCTGTGTTGGCTTTGGCTCGCATGGAAGCACCCGGACATGCCGTGGGTAGGCACGGGTTCGCCGTGCGATGACAAGGATAGGGAGTTGTTCGCCTCTGAAACTAGGGTCGCCATAGGAAACGGAAGAAAGGCCACGTTCTGGAACTGCACCTGGCTCGGCGACCAACCGCTCAAGCTACGGTTCCCGCTGCTGTTCGCCAACTCATCCAGGAAGAACCGAATGGTGGCTGAAGCACTCCAGGGCGACAGATGGATCCTCGATCTTTAGAGGGGCAGTGCAGTGGAGATCATCCCGCAGCTCGTCTCGCTGCGCCCCAGCATCCGCGAGGCCAACATCACCCTGCAAGAAGGGGCGGAGGACGAGATCTCATGGCGTTCGGGAGGCCAGTACAACGCAAAATGAGCCTATGACGCTCAGTTCGCTGGGCAGCCCAGGGGTGCACTACAGCAGCTCATCTGGAAGGTATGGGCACTGGGGAAGATCAAGTTCTTCATGTGGCTGTTGCACCACGACCGGCCCTGGTGCAACGATCAGCTGCAGCGGTGCGGCGGGGAAACGGTTATTTCTGTCAGGTATGCCTCCGAAGCTTGGAGAGCTCGACACACCTACTGTGGGAATGCCCCACGTCACAGGAGATTTGGACCAGGGCAGCAGCATGGAGGGATTGCGGCGCGCTCAGCCCAGTCACCTGGGATGGATGCAAGACCACAACGGAGGCCGTCACTGCAATTGTCTCTGTATCACCAGCATCCAACAGGCGTGCCACCAAAACCATGATGGCTCTGGTGGCATGGCATATCTGGCAGGAACGCAACAGCTGCACGTTCAGGAGGAAGACGGCCTGCGTCGACGAGGTGATCAGCGCCTGCAGAAGAGATTTGGAGCAATGGAGACTAGCCGGAGCAAAAGGAATAGAGCCCCCCTTTGGGGATATCACATGAAATATTAATCTTAGATTTTATTTAGAGGAAAGGGGGGACAGCCTGCGCGCTCTCCTTCAAAAACTCGCTCATACTTCCGTTGCTAATCTCCTTTCATTAGTAACCATTTTTGTAACTCTCTTCTGCTAAATCAATGAAAAGCCAGGCAACTGGGTCTTTCGAAAAAAAAACATAGGTACAACTGAGCAGGGTACACCATCCCGTTCCCGTATGTGATATATAGAACCAATTTACACAGAGACCTCATGTACTACATAACTGCTGAGATCCATCAGTTTACAGATACTCATGGCTGTTGGGACAAAGGGTGAAAGAGAAACACTTGTACAATGATGAAGAGTCAAGGATGAATCAATTGACATTTCAGAGGATAATGCAGAGGAGGATGGATCATTAACATATCAGAGTTTGGACGTCGCGAGCTTGATAAGATCCTTCCTCAGTATCTTGCCAGACGCGTTCTTGGGGATGTCCGTCACGAACGCCACCTTCCTGACCTTCTTGTAAGGTGCTACCTGTACAACATAGTACAGCAGAAGGTCAGAGAGATTGCATGAATAAGCTAGACAAATCTGTCAATGTATCAATGGTGAAGAAGGAGATGGTTCATTTTGTTTGATTTTATCTTCCATGAGTCGCGCTCTGCTCACCTGTTTCGCCACAAACTCCATCACCTCCTGGGCCGACAGGTTGCTCCCTTTCTTCCTCACGACATAGGCCATCGGGAACTGACCGACATCCCTGTCCGGAAATCTGCAGAAGGACCAAACCACTTAAGAAATCTGGCATAACTATATGGATAGAAGTTCATTAAGTGATTACTGATATCTCGGTAACACTTACGGAATAACAGCGACGTCCGAAACCTCTGGATGAGTCAGCAGAAGAGCTTCCAACTCCGCCGGAGGCACCTATTTTATACACAGGTTACATTCAGATGCCAAGGTACAGTAACAAGTTCAGGAGCTTGTCTTTCAGAAGAGATATCGGCCTGTGCCATTTAGTGATCTTTTTACCTGATAGCCTTTGTATTTGATCAACTCTTTCAGACGGTCCACCACGAAGAGATAGCCATCCTCGTCTATGTAACAGAGGTCTCCGGTCTTGAGCCATCCGTCGGGCGTCACCGTCGACTGTGTTGCCTCCGTGTTGTTGAAGTATCCTGGGGAGATCAATATTGCAACTTGAGAATTTTTTTTTTCTACTAGCGTTACATGTCTATGGAGGAGTATGGACGCTTTTACTTTGGACTGCAAGTTTCATCTTGCCGAGGGGCGAGGGTGCTATTACAACAGGGCGATAACTTCTTGAAACACATCATTTCTTAGGATGCTAAAATGCAAGAGCTACCATATTCTAGGGACTGAACCGATGGATATTCACTCTGAATGTTGAGGATGCTAGCACTCTCAGTTCCGCAATACGTTAGCAGCTGGACAGTTTGAAGTCTTGAAAATGGAATGACTATTTCTATTTGGACCATCGCTTGTCTGAGCACATCCCTCACAACCCTACTATGTTTATATGATGCCGTGGAAATGAATCCATCTGAGGTTTATCTCACGAGCTCTAGCTGATGCATATTAAGCAATGAGAAAGCATTCTTCACTTATGAAGGAAGAGATACTGCAATCCTTGAAAAATTCTCCATGTGGATGTGTGCATATTGAAACCAGTACTCAGTTTAGTCTTAATTTCTTCTGTTTTCTTTTCAAACTGATTTTTGGTCTTTTTTTAAATGATGACTTGGTACAACTTCTGCATTAACTAGTGTACTTGTTTCTGGAAGTTAACAACCAACTAGTACTCCTTCTGTATCAAAATGTAAGACGTTTTTTGACACTGTAACTGTCCTCTGCACTTCTGAAAGTTAATTACTTTGCTATGCTTACTTAACTAGTGTACTTGTTCATGTTATGCAAACATCGTCTGGAGTTAACTCGAAGCTAGAGATATTAGATGACACAAGAACACACCCAGATGTACTGTCACAAAACAGTTCATCGTCTGGAGTTAATGCAATGCAATTAACATAGTCCAAAGTATCAACAAGGGCGGTGGGAATTCAGTGATCGAGGGAGACATTTTAAATTCCAGCGTGCAGCTCGCTAATCGAATAAAATGTCGCGTGGTCTAAACAAAATGAAAGCACAATTTAGAACTAAAACCGAATCATTTTGTTAATTTAGGTCTTTTTAGCTTTGACGGTGCGCGGTTACCCAAAGACATTCTAAATTCCAGCCTGCAACTTGCTAATCGAACAAAATGTCACCTCATCTAACTACAAATGGAAACACAATTGTACAGTATGTTCATCTTTGAAAAATACAAGTGGAACTAAAAACGGAATCATTTTTTAATTAGTAGTAATTCAGAACACGTTAGTGCTTAATCATCAGCGTTGATGATTCGCAGTGATCCAGAGGGACATTCTAAATTCCCAGCGTGCAGCACGCTAATCGAAGAAAATGCCGGATCATCTAAATGGAGTAACATGAAAACGGCGGAATAATGTGTGGCCACATGCTTCATGAACTTTTAAATTTTTGTAATACCTTTCATGACGTAGGGTCCCCGGATCCAGAGCTCGCCGGTGCGGTTCACGGGCAGCGCCTCGCCGGTCTCTGGGTCGACGATCTTGGCCTCGGTGTTGGGCGACAGGAGGCCAGCCGTCCCGTACCGGCGGCTCTCCTCGGCCGAGTCCGTGGACGCGCCGATGGCCGTGCTCTCCGTCAGCCCGTACCCCTGCAAGATCTCCACCTGCGGGTACTTCTCCCTGAAGCCTTCGATGAGCTCCTTGCTGAGCGGCGCGCCGCCGGAGAGCACCTTGCGCAGGTTCCCGAGCGGCAGCGGCTTGGGGTGCGCGACCATGGCGACGAGGATGGGCGGCACAAGCGGCAGGTAGGTGACCCCGTAGGCGCTGATGCAGCGCAGCATCTCGGGGAGCTCGAACTTGGAGAGCACGACGATGGTGGCGCCGCAGCCGAGCAGGCCGGTGGCGAAGGCGACGAGGCCGTATACGTGGAACATGGGCACCGTGCAGAGGAACGTCTCCGTGGTGTCCGAGTCCTCGAGGCGGAAGCGGTTCATGACGATCTGCACCATGGAGATGAGGTTCCGGTGCGTGGCGACGACGCCCTTGCTGGGCCCCGTGGTGCCGGAGGAGTAGAGCAGCGTGGCCTGGTCGTCCTGCGTGACGCGGTCCCGGCGGCGCGCGGGGTCGGGCGTGGTGGCGGAGATCTCGTCGATGGTGGCGACGATCCGCGGGTCGGCGGCGTCGGCGGGAGCGGGAGAGGAGGAAGACTCGAGGAGCACGACGCGGAGGCCGTCGGCGGCGCGGGGGAGCTTGGGGAGGAGGTCGCGGGTGGTGAAGGCGAGGACGGGGCGGGCGTCGGCGACCTGCTTGGCGACCTCGGCGGCGGTGTTGAGCGGGTTGGCGGTGGTGACGACGGCGCCGAGCGACATGGCGGCGAGCGCGGCGACGGGGAAGTGGACCGAGTTGGGGGAGAGGATGAGCGCGACGTGGCCCTTGCGGAGGCCGAAGGGCGGCGCGGCGAGCGCGGTGGCGGCGCCGGCTACGGCGCGCCAGAGCTCGGCGAAGGTGGTGCGGCGGCCCGTGGAGGCGTCGACGAGCGCGACGACGCCCGAGTGGCGGCGGGAGGCGAGGAAGGTGACCACGTCCAGGTCCCGGTCCGCCGGGAGCGGCACCTCCGCGCGCTTGCTCCGGAACGCGCCCGTCGCGGCGCAGTAGCCGCTCCACGGGTGCACCGCCGCCGTGGCCATCGCGATCGGATCGCCGCGCCGGCTGGTCGATCGATCTCTCGGCTGGCTGTCGCTGCGTGTGTTTCGCGCGTGCGGGTGGGCGTTGTCTGGGTGCTGGGTCTGGGTCTGACCAGTAGCAGTAGTAGTAACTGCTTTCTCCCTGCGGCGGCGGTGGCGGGCGAGTGGTCGCCGTCGACACTCGTCAACTTTACACGGTGGTCAGCTGCAAAGCGTGCCTCGTGCGCGCATGTGCGGAAATGGATGGATAACTAGAAAAGACTGGTGGGCCCATACAGGAGGATTTTTTTTTGAGAGCACCCATACAGGAGGATGCGACAGGAGGATTTTTTTTTTTGAGAGCACCCATAAAGGAGGATGCGATTGGTCTGTGATCAGCGGGCTAAACGTGCATGTGTATGGTGTGCCAACCCCATTGACTGGAGTACATTTCAGAAGAAATAATAATCGACCGGTAAGCAATCGAAACTACAGAGTATTTGAGAAAGGGCAACGCTAACGCCTACACGTGTGGTGTGAGCCAAATTCGTCCACACGCCCTATAGCACACAGACTACGTCATGTCACCATATGCATGCATGTGAAAATCTTTTTGGATTTTCTGCTTTTAAAATGTTTTATCTCTTAAATGAAAACTTCAATTGAAGATCCGTTTTCACCATTAAATCCCTCACGACGAGATCTTCGAAACTAGATCTCATATCAATATATTTCGACGAATTTATTTTTTTGTTAAAAGTTGCGTGTCTGTTGCACATGAATTGCCATGATGTTACACTGAATTTGCCATGATATGTTTCAGCTATTTTCTTCTACATTTAAAAGTAATTTTGACATATTATAAAATGAGGAATTAAGAAACTAGACTGGTCATGCACCATAAATTAAAATTGCCATGATACATGCACTTAAAATTGCCATGGTTCATAAAAAAATATTTTCATGGTCAAAGTACTGGAATTGTCATCATCAAAAAATTAAAATTGCCATGATTTACAAACTAAAATTGCCACATGGCAACTTTAGTTTAAGCACTATGGTAACTACAGTGTAAACATCATGGTAACTTTTGGGCAATTTTTTTTTCCTCGAAACATATCAACATGGGATCTAGTTTTGAAGATCTCGACGAGACATATTTAATGATGAAAACAGATTTATAATTCGCCTTTTTAATTAGGAGATAAATCATTTTAAAGCCAAAACCCCCCAAAAAAATTGCTGATGTCATTTGTTCATACGTGGCAAAATGAGTGATGATGGAGGCGTGTGGGCGATGTGCAAACGCGCACACGTGTGGGCGTTAGTTTTTCCGTTGAGAAAATGGAAAAAAGCACCAAAAATCAATAATTTTGTAAAATCTTCGAAATATGAAAGTGAAAATTCGTAATGGGCGTTCTTCCTTTATCAAAATCGATTTGTTAAGGTCATGTAGGAATAAGGCTCGGATTGTTGGATCGTTAGGATGCAACCATTTTTAGGATTTGACGGATATCATTTTCAGATAAGGTAGAATTGTTATCGAAGGATTTCGTTCCATTCTTCCGTGGAAGGCTAGGGTTTGCTGTTCTCTAGTGGCTTCGATGTCCGAGAGTTTTTGTCTTTAATCAGTTCTGCAAATCTGGGATCTACTGTCCTTTAGCTGATCGGGAGTTTTCTCATTAACCATAGCTGGAAAGCTAGGGATCTATTGTCCTCCGGCAACTACATTGACCGGGAGTTTCTTCGGTGTCGATCAACGGAGACATGGTCTTTGTCAGCAATGAAACGTTTATGTTGGAATTGACGTGGTCTGGCCAGCACCACAGCAGTTAGAGCGCTTTTGGACGTCCAGAAGCAATGGGGCCCTTATGTGTTTTTCCTGTCTGAGACGCATTTGAACAAAGCGAAGGCAGAAAAATTAATCAGAAACTTAAAATGGATAGAGTGGAGGTGTACGAAAGTAATGGGGTGAGTGGTGGATCGTTGGTAACTTGGCGTAGTCCGGTGGTGATATAGGCTCTGTCCGTGCATAAAAACTTCATTGATGTTGAAGTGAATGGATCGGGTGAAGAGGTGTGGAGATTGACATGGTTCTACGGAGAACCCAAATGGGAGGAGAAGCATATGTCGTGGGCTACTTGAGGGATCTTCATCAACAAGCTAACCTAGTTTTGGGGAACGTAGTAATTTCAAAATTTTCCTACGCACACGCAAGATCATGGTGATGCATAGCAACGAGAGGGGAGAGTGTGTCCATGTACCCTCGTAGACCAAAAGCGGAATCGTTATGACAACGCGGTTGATGTAGTCGTACGTCTTCACGATCCAACCGATCTTAGCACCGAACGTACGACACCTCTGCGATCAGCACACGTTCAGCTCGGAAACGTCCCTCGTACTCTTGATCCAGTTGAGGACGAGGGAGAGTTTTGTCAGCACGACGGCGTGGTAACGGTGATGATGAAGTTACCGGCGCAGGGCTTCACCTATGCACTATGACGATATGACCGAGGTGTGTAATTATGGAGGGGGTGCACTGTACACAGCTAAACAATGTCAACTTGTGTGTTCTAGGGTGCCCCCTGCCCCCGTATATAAAGGAGCAAGGAGGGAGGCTGGCCGGCCTTGGGGCGCGCCAAGGAGAGGGGGAGTCCTCCTACTAGTGGGAGTAGGACTCCCCTTTCCTAGTCCAACTAGGAAGGAGGTGAAGGAAATATGCCCTAGAGGCAATAATAAAGTTATTATTTATTTCCTTATATCATGATGAATGTTTATTATTCATGCTAGAATTGTATTAACCGGAAACATGATACATGTGTGAATACATAGACAAACTAAGTGTCACTAGTATGTCTCTACTTGACTAGCTCGTTTATCAAAGATGGTTATGTTTCCTAGCCATGGACAAAGAGTTGTCATTTGATTAATGGGATCACATCATTAGGAGAATTATGTGATTGACTTGACCCATTCCGTTAGCTTAGCACTTGATCGTTTAGTATGTTGCTACTGCTTTCTTCATGACTTATACATGTTCCTGTGACTATGAGATTATGCAACTCCCGTTTACCGGAGGAACACTTTGTGTGCTACCAAACGTCACAACGTAACTGAGTGATTATAAAGGTGCTCTACAGGTGTCTCGAAAGGTACTTGTTGGGTTGGCGTATTTCGAGATTAGGATTTGTCACTCCGATTGTTGGAGAGGTATCTCTGGGCCCAGTCGGTAATTCACATCACTATAAGCCTTGCAAGCATTGCAACTAATTAGTTAGTTGTGGGATGATGTATTACAGAACAAATAAAGAGACTTGCCGGTAACGAGATTGAACTAGGTATTGAGATACCGACGATCAAATCTCGGGCAAGTAACATACCGATGACAAAGAGAACAACGTATGTTGTTATGCGGTTTGACCGATAAAGATCTTCGTAGAATATGTAGGAGCCAATATGAGCATCCAGGTTCCGCTATTGGTTATTGACCGGAGACATATCTCGGTCATGTCTACATAGTTCTCGAACCCGTAGGGTCCGCACACTTAAAGTTAGATGACGGTTATATTATGAGTTTATGTGTTTTGATGTACCGAAGGAGTTCGGAGTCCCGGATGAGATCGGGGACATGACGAGGAGTCTCGAAATGGTCAAGACGTAAAGATCGATATATTGGACGATTATATTCGGACTTCGGAAAGGTTCCGAGTGATTCGGGTATTTTTCGGAGTACCGAGGAGTTACGGGAATTCGCCGGGGAGTATATGGGCCTTACTAGGCCATACGGGAATAAAGGAGAGAGGCCAAAAGGAAGGAGGCGTGCAGCCCCCCTGGGGTCCGAATTGGACAAGGGGTGCAGCCCCCTTTTCCTTCTTCCTCTCCCCCTCTTTCCTTCTCTCCTACTCCAACAAGGGAAGGAGGAGTCCTACTCCCGGTGGGAGTAGGACTCCCCCCTTGGCGCACCTTCCTCCTAGGCCGGCTGCCTCCCCCCTTGCTCCTTTATATACGGGGGCAGGGGGCATCCCATAGACACAACAATTGATCTCTTGATCTCTTAGCCGTGTGCGGTGCCCCCTCCACTATAGTCCTCCTCGATAATATTGTAGCGGTGCTTAGGCGAAGCCTTGCGACGGTAGAACATCAAGATCGTCACTACACCGTCGTGCTGACGGAACTCTCCTTCGACACTCGGCTGGATTGGAGTTCGAGGGACGTCATCGAGCTGAACGTGTGCTAGAACTCGGAGGTGCCATAGTTTCGGTGCTTGATCGGTCGGGCCATGAAGACGTACGACTACATCAACCACGTTGTTCTAATGCTTCCGCTTTCGGTCTACGAGGGTACGTGTACACACTCTCCCCTCTCGTTGCTATGTATCACCATGATCCTGTGTGGGCATATGATTTTTTTTGAAATTACTACGTTCCACAATAGTGGCATCCGAGCCTGGTTTTATGCGTAGATGTTATATGCACGAGTAGAACACAAGTGAGTTGTGGGCGATACAAGTCATACTGCTTACCAGCATGTCATACTTTGGTTTGGCAGTATTGTTGGATGAAGCGGCCCGGACCGACATTACGCGTACGCTTACGCAAGACTGGTTCTACTGACGTGCTTTGCACATAGGTGGCTGGCGGGTGTCAGTTTCTCCAACTTTAGTTGAACCGAGTGTGGCTACGCCCGGTCCTTGAGAAGGTTAAAACAACACTAACTTGACGAACTATCGTTGTGGTTTTGATGCGTAGGTAAGAACGGTTCTTGCTCAGCCCGTAGCAGCCACGTAAAATTTGCAACAACAAAGTAGATGACGTCTAACTTGTTTTTGAAGGGCATGTTGTGATGTGATATGGTCAAGACATGATGCTATATTTATTATATGAGATGATCATGTTTTGTAACCGAGTTATTGGCAACTGGCAGGAGCCATATGGTTGTTGCTTTATTGTATGAAATGCAAGCGCCCTGTAATTGCTTTGCTTTATCACTAAGCGGTAGCGATAGTCGTAGAAGCAATAGACGGC